AATCTGATCTTTGGGCTGGGAGGCCGGTCTCTAGGTATGAAACTGTGACAGTGTGTCCCCCTGTGTTCACACCTTTTAGAGGATCATGGTAAAACTTGTACAAAGTATGAATTGTGAGGGATCATTTGAAAACGTATGGCTTGCTGATCATTATTGTCTTGGTAAAATATGTGTGGCCACATAGTATGTGAAGTTATAAAATTCCACTGTATGATATTACATGTTCCAACATGTTCCGGCGTGCAGTCACAAACCACTTCTCCAGAACAATGGCCACAAAAGGCTAGCCAATGCCTCAGCCAGGTGTCAACGAGATCAAATGGACCATCACCTGATTAAGTGGCCATTCTTCAGCATGAGAGAGGCTGTGGGCAAAGAATCTGAATTTTGACAAAGAAGCAACTTGAGGTTCCTGTCCACACAGACTTTCTGTCTCCTGCACCTCAGCTGGAGACAATTCTTGCACAAGAGAAATAACTACAAGATGAGAGAGCAAACGCCCCAAATCATCTCTTCCTTTCTCTTTACCAATGGCATCAACAACACCTGAAGAACAAAGGAGTAGCATTGGACTGGGGAGGGATCCTGACTGAAACATTCAGCCACTACGACAGGGGGAACTTGTGATGAGCGAGACCTTTGCTTTGAAGTCACTTAACTAATACCTAACTTAACAAGCTGTGTATAACTTTTGGTTTCTTTGTAACCAATTCTTTTATGCCTCATTACTTGTAATCACTTAAAATCTATCTTTCTGCAGTTAATAAATCTGTTTTATCTAAACCAATGTGTTTGGACTGAAGTGTTTGGGAAACTTCATTTGGGATAACAGGATTCAAGCATATCATTTTCTATTAATGAAATGACGGACTTTATATGAGCTTGTATTGTCCAGCAGGGCAGGTGCAGAGCAGTATAAGATGCACATTTCTGGGGGAAAGTCTGGGACTGGGAGTTTGCTGGTGTTGCCCTGCATTGCAATTCATTAGTGTCTGGCTATAGCACTCAGACAGTATAACTTAGAGTAACTTACATGCTGGAGGCTGTGTGTGAGCAGACCAGCAGTGGTTGCTCTCACGGGAAAGCAATGGAAAAGGTACCCCAGATTGGAGAATTGAGGAGACACAGCTGTCCAGTGGTCCAGATTGTACCCTGGGTTATGTCACAGAAACGGTATGCAAGGATTGGTCAGAACACAAAGATAAGTAGGAGCCCTGACCAATATTTCCTCTAATTTTTTCCATCCAGGTGTGAAATAAATTTTGTTATGTGCACCGAGGTAATATATGGATGTGCGCCACCAGTAGAAACAAAATACCGAGATATAATATATATTTTTTAAAAGTTACCATAGAGATAATTACTCTAGTCAGGAAAGGTTAGGCATTTTAGAACTCACTACTCAAAGCATTAAATAAAAATTATGAAATGCATAGACCAGTCAAAAAACTAAAATTACAGAGAATATATGTTCACTGCAGGAAGTACTAAGAAGTAACAACAAACAACAATAACATAAGTATGTGTTGGGAGGTGAGTGTGAAAGACTGTGTGTGTGTGTGTGTGTGTGTGTATAGAGAGACATACAGACTGTGTGTGTGAGAGAGAGAGGACAGAGAGAGACAGACAGAGATTGTGTGCGCTGGGGAAGTCTCTGAGAGACCGTGCGCTGTCTCTTTAAGGTAAAGGCACTCACTCACCACCTGGAACAGCATTCAGACCTCAGACCCTCGAGGTTGTCCCCTCTCCCCTGCTGGAGTACAGGGGCAGGGGGACATCCTGATATCAGCACCCCCCTCCCCATCCACTCTGCACAGCCAGCAGGAGAGTCCCAGGAGCAGCAGGGGCTCCAAGGCAGAGGGCAGGAGCAACGTGAAGCACTGGGGGGGGGGGGAGGCACCTGAATACACGCTGCCAGCTGGATGTGAGCGGCTCTGCTAATCAACTGCGCGGCACTTCAATCAGTCCTGAGCAGATGCCCCAGCACACAGCTTAGAGGAAATACAGGCTCTGACACCATAGCTGAGGGACTGATGTCAAAAGGGCACTTGGACTGTGTGTTTGCTGATAAAGGTGTTGCAGTGATTTCAGGGTGAATTCCTGTCTCTCTAAAGGCTGTAGGATGAGTCTCTGCCCCAAAACAAGCGGTAAGAGTTTGGAACAAGTAGTTACCCAAGACAGGAGCCCCTACCAGAGAGTGTAACTCAAAATACAAATGAAATATACATTATTCTAAAACTAGATCATGCTTAAATACTCACAACTAACTAATGCCCTACTATGGAAATCCCTTTGGGGACACTCTTCAAGTTTCAGTGTGTAAAGCTTCTGACACATCCTGCAAACAGGGGGCAGCATTTGCCTGCTCACTTTATTAGTAGTTTCTTATATTGCCCAGTGCTCAAAAACTACTATCTGGATGAGAGCTCCATTATTATAGGTGCTGCACGAGGAAGAGACAGCCTCTGCCCTCGAGAGTATACAAACTAAAAGGCCAAGACATACCAAGGGTAGTGGGATATACAAACAAGCAAAGTGATCAGGTGATGATTGACTAGCATCTTGTTTGCTTCACAGTGTTTTGTAGGGGAGGGGCTTGTTTTTGTTCTTATTTTTTTTAAATATAACTTGTCCTCAATTGCTCCTCTACTTACCCATTGTTAATTTCAAATGTGTACTAAAACGTAAACTATCCCTATCTGCTGTTCTAGCTAACCTTCTGCCCTGTGTTGGCCCACTCTCAATAATTAGCCAGTGTTGCTTTATTAGCTGTTGTGCCTCTGTCTTCCTACTCCCCAAGTATCCTACTACACACACACATACTTACTAGCTAAGGCCTTTTGCTGGGAGAAAAAAAATAAAAGTGGTAGCCAATCACAAAAGCCCTCAACAATTATCCAGAATCTAAAGTCTCTGGAGGCCACTCTCACCATGTGATATGGAGTGGGCTGATTCCCATCCTTACACATTCTCATCTGCCCCCACCACACACAGTCAGTGGCTCTAGGCACTTCTTTTGTTCCACCTGGAGTAGATATCTCCATCTGAAGGGAGGGGGAATAAATTCTTAAGCACAATCATGCAGGTTCCTGGAGCTGGAACCCTACACCTCTAAAATATTCTGAAATCCACAAAGACAATCTGAATCTAGAGACATCTGCATGGAAGGCAAACGCCTCTGTGCTCCAACCTAGATGTCCCCAATAGCATCACAGGTCTCGCAGGTGATTCCTGGCCCCTGTCCAACTCCAAAGATAGTTGAAAGAGCTGTGACCCTTAAGAACAAATGACAACATCAGCATTAAATCCCAAAACCATTCCCCACAGATTTGCCAGGCAACGTTGCACAGGCAGCTCTTCTTGGCCTCACCATATCCCTCCCTCCAACACATTTTGGGCCATGGCTCTTAAATACAAACAACCTAGGGTAAAGGAAACAGGTAAATTATCTTCCACATGGTAGAGCATTAAAATAGTCATACTGATGTAGGTAAGTGTGAAGACCAGAATTGTTGTAATAAACAAGCAAATTTATTTTAATCCCAGTGGAAAACATTGGGATTCTTTCTCCGGCTCTCTCCGAAAAGAGAAAGCAAGGCTTTTATAAAAAAAGAAAAAGCTACAAAATTTAATAAGATATTAATTAAGCAATAAGTCATGATAGGCAGTATATTTCTGGGCAATTACTGCACAGTATTATGAGACATGGAGTCAAAGGCCAAATGAGAAACCACCAGAGAAGTACAATAATCCCATTTCCCTAGAAATTAACTGCCTGGAGTGTTTTATAATGTTATGGTTGAAGGTGAGTTTTTAAAAAAGATAAGAGAGAGACTAGTGCATTCATTTAGTGGGCATGAGTCAGTTAATTCACACACAGATCAAAAAGATCCATTTCTACTCAAGATTTCTGAACCCATTTTGCATTTTCTCAGTAAAAGCAAATGAGACAGAAAACAGTAATATTACATGCATAAAAGTGTGTCCCTATCCCTGCTAAATTGCAGCAGGCCAACTGTATTAATACATACAGCAGGGGGCAGCAGGATCCTTCCCCAGAGCTTTGTTTCAGCTCTAAATACCCTTCAAATTCTAAAAGCCTATCTTTTCATATCCTTGAAAATGGCTTTTTTTAAATCCATCTAGCAGACTAGATGTATCTGTCAGTCTCTTCATTATGGGCTATCAGAGAGGCTTAATCTGTTGGCTCCAGCACAGATATGATTGACAGGATGAAGGGAAGCCATGCTTGGTGGATCTCGAGGGGGAGGGGGAATATATCATTTACCGGCCAAGCCGAAAAACACCAGAATGCATAATAGGACAGGATTTGGTATGGCAATTATATACTGTATTGCAGAATTCTTGGGGCCTATTTGTTTTTAAAGGTCTTTCTTGAGGTCTCCCTGTATCTCTGCATAAACTGTTCCACTTTGGTGCTTTGAAAATCAAAGAAGAGCTTTACAGTATACGACAACCGTTAAAATTAATAACTAAGAGTTAACCAATTAAATTAATTCCTCTGGTGGTGCAGGAGCAGAAATAAACACCTTTAAAATTTAATCGCGTTTATTTTCATCTTTATGGCTTCAAGGGTTCATTCACCATTACGAATTAATTGTTCAATCTCAAAATTTAAAAAAAAAACATGAAAACTTATCAGAATGGGCTTCAAGAAGAAAAAAGGGGGACATGAAGCAACACAAAATAACCTACTCAAAAAACTGATACTTTTGAGTTATTCCCTGCAGTCCCTCATGCAGCAGGTACTTCAGACAATAATTATTTGTTTGCATTGGATTTAGAAGCTGCAAGAGTGCAAATGTAAAAATTATTGACCTATTACAAAATTGATATCCCAAAAATGCTTAATACTATTTAGCATAAGACAAACAAAATGTCTCTGAACTATTATGACTACAGTGGACATCTACTGCATGAAAGTGAAGCTGTGCTCATAACATTTTAAACACAGTTCTGGAAGTGATTAGTTTATTTACCTGCTGCAAAGAGCATGACTGCGAGTGGTCTGTAGAACCGCCTCCGAGACCCCACACAGATCGAGATCAAACCAATCAGGAAAGCTATGAGAATGATGGTAGCACCGCCCAGAAGCAAAGCGAGAGTCGCTATCTGCCAGTCTAGAAAGAGAAAGAAATAAAAACAATTGCAGCAAAACAACAAACACTTCCCCTACAGAGGAAAAGGAGAACTATGAAGGGTACCGAGCATATCAAGACCTGAGGAAACTCACAACCATTTTTTTTTTTTAAAATGAGTGCAAATCCTTCAGGAGTTTTTAAAATGCTTCATATGATAGATACAAGTTAAAAGGCAAATCCTGCAATCCTTTCTCCAGATTCAACTGGGGGTTTTGCCTGAGAAACAACTGCAGGAGTTGAGTCTTTGGCTTTGTCCAGTTTAGGAAGAGAGGACAAGATTAGGTCAGGATTAGTTAACATGTGTTAGTTTAGTCCAATCTAAATTACAGCTTTCCCCTAGTATTAACCTTTATTCTACATGTCCTTTGGAATGGTGGTTGAAGCATGAAGGGACATATGAATCTTTAGTGCATCTAACATGTAAATATCTTGCGACGCTAGCTACAACAGTGCCCTGAGAACACCTGTTCTCACTTTCAGGTGACATTGTGAACAAGGGGGCAGCATTATCTCCTGCAAATGTAAACAAACTTGTTTGTCTGAGCAATTGGCTGAACAAGAAATAGGACCGAGTGGACTTGTAGGCTCTAAAGTTTTACATTGTTTTATTTTTGAATGCAGGGTTTTTTTTGTACATAATTCTACATTTGTAAGTTCAACTTTCATGATAAAGAGATTGCTCTACAGTACTTGTATTAGGTGAATTGAAAAATACTATTTTGTTTTTACAGTACAAATATTTGTAATAAAAAATAAATATAAAGTGCGCACTGCACAGTTTGTATTCTGTGTTATAATTGAAATCAATATACTTGAAAATGTAGAAAAGATCAAAAATATTTAAATGAATGGTATTCTATTATTGTTTAACAGTGCGATTAATCTCAATTAATTTTTTTAATCGCTTGACAGCCCTAGTTAATACCTTGACTTGAGCATGTCAAGGCTGACCCTCATGAGGAACATTGTGGGGTCTGATCACCCATTTATGAGTATGAAATGGGAAATGAGGTAGCCACAAAAAAAATTTCTTGAAGAAAAAAGACACATTCAATAACCTGAATCATAAGACTCAGAGGAAGGAGGGAGATATTACAAGCAAGAATTTATTTTGAACTAAAAACAAGGATAAATCCAGAAACTTCCCAGTGCCAAAGTAATGACTGTAATAAGCAGAATGGGCTAAATCCTAAAGTCCTTACTCTAGATGCAAATCCTTATTTTGGCAAGACTCCCAGTGAAGTCAATGGGATTTTCACTTAGGGTACGTCTATACTTACCTGCTGGTTCGGCGGCAAGCAATCGAACTTCTGGGTTCGATTTATTGCGTCTTGTCTGGACGCGATAAATCGAACCCAGAATTGCTCGCCGTCGACTCCGGTACTCCTGCTCGGCGAGAGGAGTACGCAGAGTCGACGGGGGAGCCTGCCTGCCGCGTCTGGACCACGGTAAATTCGAACTAAGATACGTCGACTTCAGCTACGTTATTCACGTAGCTGAAGTTGCGTATCTTAGTTCGAATTGGTGGGTTAGTGTAGACCAGCCCTTAGATATAACTGCAGGAATTGGCCCAGTGATAATTCACAATCATCTTGGCAATCTGGAATCACGCATTTCTGTACACTGTAAAATCCACCCCATGCAGAGGGCCAGGCAATCCTAATTTGAGGGTTTAATCTGAAATTGAGGGGGCCTTGTGCAAAGAAGCGGATTTCAACCTTAGTCCCATTGCAACAATGTGGATCAAGCAAGAGGATCATAGCAACAACTCCAGTCATTCAGAACTAGAAAAGAGATAATCACCAACACAAATCCCTACAATGAGTTAGTGGGGAGAGAAAGAGCTATGGCTACTTTGGATTTCTCACTGGTTGGCACATCTAGTGCTGATATTTCACTTGGAATAGAATAGCAAAGTGTAGGACTATTAACTTTGTACCAAAGAACTGATTTAGGACCTCATTCTCAGCATGTATTTAGAGATCAAACATTACCAGAATAAGCTCAAATCAAGAAGAATAAATTGCCCAGAACCTTTACATTTATTTTTAAAGGCAAGCAAGCAAAACATGTTCAAAATTAAGCACATTTTGGTTTCAACAACTAGTTAGAAGGACTCCTACAGTATGGATGATGGATGAAAGAAATGAAGAGGAAGCTGTGAAAAAGGAAGTTTGTGAATGCATTTCTAAATGAAAACAGTATTGTTTTTTGAAAAGCCATATTTGTGCATGTTTTATTGTCATGCTACTTAAATGTTTATGCATATATTTTGTCATTTTAATTACTCACCCAAATAATATTTCAAACTATTTATTCTTTGTTTTCTTAGCTAAGCAATCATTAGGAAGACATATGCTCAGGTGATACTGTGAATTTCAGTTTCTCACACATAGAAATGAGCAAGGAGGACATGCCTCTTAGGCCCTGTCTACAATGGTGAAGTTTGAACTGCTGTAACTACACTGATGTATTTATGCCAGTGTAAATACATACTACATTAAAACAATATATACATAGTACACAACTGATTCAAACCCATAAAGTAGACACTCTGCAATAACCTGAAGAGGGGCTTACCACCCGCATGACTTATCCCAGTAAATCACCAGTAAGTCATGTATGAGTGGAGCATCTCTTTGCTAATGGGTCTGCGCCAGTGTAACTATATAGATGCAGTTACATTAGAGAAATTTGTAGCAATGAAGACAGGTCCTCGGTGACTGAGGTTCAGATATTGGACTGTCTATGGGCCTGGGAACCAGGAACTCTTCAATTCTCCTACTCTGACTCAATATATGCAGTTAAAGAAGTCATTTACTCTCTCTGTGTGTTTTTCTATTAGTGAAATGGAAATACTGTCTTATTTACCTACAGGAGTGTTACAAGGACTGATTGATTAATGCTGATATGACAATGAAAATTTTAAATGATTATTATGTTACTGATTTATAAGACAGACACTTTCCTAGTAACAGAATGCTATGCAAAATGAATATATAAACATAGCAGCACCCACAGATATCAAATGGAGGAGCATCCCACCAACATGGAACCACATCAGAGAAAACCCTACACTTAAAAATTGCACTGGTACAAAGACAAGACAAGTAATTCATCTCACCCAGAAGGTAAAGCCCACCCAAGACTGCAAGTATAAATCAAACTGCATACACATGGAGATGCTAAGGAATGAAAATTTTCAATGCTTACAAATAACAAGAGATTACATGTTCTTCAGGATGATCAGAAGCCAGAATGTCTCCTTAAATAAAGGTGTGTGACACTGGAGCTACAAGGTGATGAGAAAGTTAAGAATGCTACTGCTTTCCAAAGGGATTGAAAATAGGTAATAGATAAGGCAGGAAGACAAATCAAATGGTAACAATAGTCCAAGTACAAGATGTGAACTTGGGCTAACATCTTAGCCACCAGCTCAGACACATTATGGATTTTGGAAAGGTTAAAAACAGTGATACCACCATGTTTCATTATTGATATGGGCTGTAAGCAGACAAATCAATGTTGACAAACACCTATTTTCCAGACTAAAAGATTTAAATTCTGTGTGATTCAGTGTGATTACTCACATGTATAAAGTGATGGATGTGACTGAAAGTTTGAAAATTGAGGCCTTATTGATCAGTATTAGTTTTATTGGTTCTGAAACATGATCCACTTACATTGTAATAGTACAGTACATCATAGCAGTACATCACATCAACCAACAGAGCAAGACTTTGGTGACTGCAACAAAGTTGTTAGAAATTGTGCTAGTCTTTTCACTATGCCTAAATGGTAGACATCTTATATAATTTGGGATTTAAAAGAATGGTCTCCTCAAATTTGAACCCAAATTTAGATACTTAGATTTTGAAAGAATAGCTTTTTAAAAATCTAAACTCAATTGAAATATTTCCAGGGTATTTTAAAGCTTAAAAGAAAAGTTATTTTCACTCATAAAGTGTTTGCAACACAAACATGGCAACACTGAGAACCTGAAATTGGTCACGAACAAAAGTGAAACTGACTTAATTGATTTTCATTGGACAAGCTGAGAGAAACGCAAAAAGAAAAGTAATAAGTAAATTAGGTTTTAAAATTATTTCAGTTTTGATATCTAAGCTGTTGTTAGTAACAAGTAAAGAATTACATTAAATGTGTCATAGAATATCTGGGTTGGAAGGGATCTCAGGAGGTCGACTAGTGCAACCCCCTGCTCAAAGCAGGACCAATCCCCAACTAAATCATCCCAGCCAGGGCTTTGTCAAGCCTGACCTTAAAAACCTCTAAGGAAGGAGATTCCACCACCTCCCTACGTAACCCATTCCAGTGCTTCAACACCCTCCTAGTGAAAAAGTTTTTCCTAATATCCAACCTAAACCTCCCCCACTGCAACTTGAGACCATTACTCCTTGTTCTATCATCTGCTATCACTGAGAACAGTCTAGATCCAGTCTCTTTGGAACCCCCTTTCAGGTAGTTGAAAGCAGCTATCAAATCCCCCCTCATTCTTCTCTTCTGCAGACTAAATAATCCCAGTTCCCTCAGCCTCTCCTCATAACTTATGTGCTCCAGCCCCCTAACCATTTTTGTTGCCCTCCGCTGGACTCTTTCCAATTTTTCCACATCCTTCTTGTAGTGTGGGGCCCAAAACTGGACACAGTACTCCAGATGAGGCCTCACCAATGTTGAATAGAGAGGAATGATCACGTCCCTCGATCTGCTGGCAATGCCCCTATTTGTACAGCCCAAAATGCCGTTAGCCTTCTTGGCAACAAGGGCACACTGTCGACTCATATCCAGCTTCTCATCCACTGTAACCCCAGGTCCTTTCCTGCAGAACTGCTGCCTAGCCATTTGGTCCCTAGTCTGTAGCAGTGCATAGGATTCTTCCGTCTTAAGTGCAGGATTCTGCACTCGTCCTTGTCTTTTGGCCCAATCCTCTAATTTGTTTAGGTTACTCTGGACCCTATCCC